ATCTTGTAGTATGCTTAACAGGAACTTGAAAATAATGTATATTCTTGAATCATTGGGTGTAGTGTTATTTTAAGTGTCACTCAGGTTAAGTTCACTGATGGTTTTTCAGTTATTATGTAGTCTTACTGATATTTTTTGTTTAAGAAAGGAGTTAAACCTCCAATAATAGTATGTCTTTTTGTAGGTACATATTTAATGATCTTTTCTTGCTAAAATAATGTTTTCATCATTTTGAAATGCTCTTCTTCCTATCACTTTTATTTCCAGTTAAGATTTCCTTTTTTAAATGAACACAGCCACTCTAGGTTCTTTTATTGTTTTCATTCTTCATCTTTTTCCATCCTCTAAATTCTACCTGTTTATAGCTTTACAAACAACCTATAGTTGGCTTTTACTTTTTCAATCCAGTTTCACAATCTCTGGCTTCTACTTAGATGATTTAGGCCATTTTCATTTACTATAATTACTGATGAGGTTAGGCTTAAATCTACTGCCTTGTTATTATTTTCTATTTATTTCTTTTTCCTCTTTCCCTACCTAAAAAAACTAATCCAATATATTTTTGTATTCACTTTTTCCTTAGTTATACCTGTATAGTGGTTGTATTATACAATTCACATAGACTTATTTTATTAGTCTGCTTTCAATCAATATAACATTTAACTTGTAAAAATATCTTGTAAGAGTGTGTTTCTATTTGCTATCTTTGTTTTCAACCTGATTAACTTTCAGAAATTAAAGATACAGAGAATATTCTTTTGTATTAACCAATGAAGTTACCTCTTGTGATGCTTTTCATTTTCTCTTGTGGAATTCATTGCCCCAGAACACACTTCTGGTTGCCACAACTAGAGGAGAAGCTGCTTGGCATCTGGTGGGCAGATGCTACAAAATATGTATGATGCAAGGACAACCCCAACAAAGAATTATCTTGCTCTAAATATCAGTAGTGCTGAGGTTGATCCATGTTTGTATTTAGCAGCATATCTCTTTAGCTTAAAAACTTCTTGTATTGTACACTTTGGACCTCATTTACTCTTTCAGTTTCTCACACTAGGGAGACAGTGTGATATTTACACATGTGAGTCTGATTTATTTCACTTAAGAGTATGGTCTCAAGTTGCATTCATTTAGAAATGTCTCAACTTTATCATTCTTTACGGCTGAGTAGCACTCCACTGTATTAAAACAACATATCTTTTTTTATCCATTCCTTGGTTGATGGGCATTTGGGTTGTTTCCAAGATTTAGCTATTACAAACTGTGCTGTAATAAGCATGGGTGCACATTAATATGATCATTACATACATCTAAAATGTACCAATAAAATTAAAAGAAAAAACTTCTTGTAGAGATAATTGCTACAAAGATCTATTTTTAACTTTTATTTCTCTGAAAATCTATATTTCTTCTTTCTTTTTAATGAATAATTTTGCCATTTATAGTTCTAGGTCAAAGTTTTTTTCTCTATCAGTGCTTTAAACATGTCTTTCCATTGCTTCGTTTCCCAGAATTCTTTTCCAATGATAAATCAGCCATCATTTAAAAATTATCATTTTTCTCCCTAGGCAATGCATATTTTTTTCTGACTAGTTTTAGGGTTTTCTCTTTATATTTGGTTTTCAGCTGTTTAGTTGTGATGGTTTTCTTTGCATTTATCCTATGTCAGATTCATTAACTTCCTGGATGCAGGCGTTGATAATTTTTCCTTAGACTGGAATATGTTTGGCTATTAAGTCTTTAAATATTTTTCTTCTATTTTCTCATTCTCTCTCTCCTATTTTTGGACTCTAAATGTTTATATATCAGGCCATTTGATATAATCTCATATTTTAAAATATCTCCTATATGTTATTATTCATATTTTAGTCTTTTTTCCTTTTTTAGCTTTGACGATTTCCATTGATCTTTCTTCAAGTTCACTGATCCCTTCCCTTTCTGCATTACACAACTATAAGCCTGTTCACTGATTTTTTTTCTTTTACATGGCTATTATTTTAGATCTTTCTTTTTCAGTATTTATATTCATCTTTTAAAATAAACCATTTGTTCCCTCATGTTTGACATAATTATTTTAGTCTTCTTATTCTGATCATCTCTTTCTAAAAGCTGTATTTTCTCTTAAGTATAGACAACATTTTTATACTTAAAGGTTTTGTATATTTTATTGTAATATTTACATTGTGTATAAATGAATAATAAAGACTGAATTATTTTTGTCTTGTTCTATTTGCTCCTTACAGATTCTAATCCCTCTTCTCCGAGTGTGGTGAGGAGCCAATCTCAGTTCCCCGTGTCTAGTTGAGACAGAGATGTTGCAGCTCCAGTGAGGTTGAGTTAACCATAATTAGCCCAACTGTAAGCTTCTGAGACAGTCTTTCGCATCTTGTCAGCGTTTGTGCTAGGAAAGGACTGGCTGCAGCTTCAACTGAAGGAGGGTGTGGAGTTCATTAGCCATAAGAAGCCATTAGCCGGTAGGTTCTTTCTGTGGAGACACCCCTGCTCCACTGGCCAGTTCATAGTGAAACTGGGGTAAGAGTAGAACTGTGCCTTTGTGTCTCTTCTGGACTCAAATTTGTCCCATCAGCCTTCTACCATCCAAAGCACAGCCCTTAGCTCGTGGCAGGCCAGCCTTACTGAGACCTCAGTGTAGAATCTGTGAGCCCAGGCTCTCACTCATACTTGTTCTTCTTGGAGTTTAGTTCTGTCTTCTCCTCCTCTTAGTCTATCTTGTTGTTCTCAAGGGAATGAAGGTCTTTCTCATGCCAATGTGAAGTAGAAATCTCCTGTACTCACTCTTTCTAGTCAATGGTATGTCATGAAAAAGAACACAAGAGGTTTGCCTTATAGTTTTAGAGCTTTAAGCCTTCTACTTTTGTGAAAAATAAAGTAATTCTTTTTCAATCCAATTCAGTAACTTGGTAAAACATTAAAAAGCACAAAAATAAAAGTTAACCATTGTTAACCTCTCTTGCTTTCCTTTCTTGAGAAATAATTTACACATCAAATACCCAAATCTTGATCTTCATTGTATAGCTCAGTGAATTTCACACACATTTGCACTGTGTGATCACCACTCACATCAAGTTATATTTCTATCAAGATTCTTCCCAGTCAATGTTGTCTCTCAGAGATAACCATTCTTTTTTTCTAGCACCATAGATTTGATTTTTCCTATTCTTGGATTTAATATAATTTAATATGGACACACATGGCATATACTCTCTTGTGTCTGTGATTCTTTTGCTTAATAATACTTCTAAGATTCATCCATATTCTCATGTATTTATTCTTTTTTTCTATGTAATACTCCCTTGGTGAATTATACCACAGTGTATTTATTCAGTATCCAGTTGGTGGACAGTTGAGTTGTGTTTGGCTTATTATGAATAAAGCTACCATGAAAAAACATGTACTTTCTTTGTAGAGAATTTCACTTAGGATAGAGTGGTTGTATCAGCGCAAGCACATATTTGGGCTTAACAGAATCTGCCCCTTTTCCCAACTGATGGCACCATTTAATCTTCCCGGAAGATTAAATCACTTCACATTCTCAATATCTGATATTACCAGTCTTCATATTTCTGCCATTCCAGTTGGGTGTTTGGCAGAGTCTCATGAAGTTTTGCTACCCTAATGCTCTCCCATTCTTCTTAGTGGTTGTGTGGTAATTTTTAGTTTGAATATGCTAGAGCTTATTTAGTTATTTCTCTACTGACAGATATCACCTTTGTCTTCAGTTTTAATTTTTTAAATACAGTTTCACTGTACACCCTCAACCAACACCGTTGAGCCTACATGCGAATATTTCTGGTGTAGGTCTCACTTGGCACTACAGTAAAACTTAGCAGGGCATGGGGGTGGGAGGCGCATGCCAGGTAAAGCCCTTCACGGCCTGCCCAGCCTTAAGCTGCCTCCTCTCTTGACATAGCCACCTTGAACAAGAAAGTCAAGGAGATACCAGTCCTTTCCCACGCTAAGCCCAGGGCCACATCTTCAGCTGCCTTTTCATTCTTCTGTTTGTTGAAATGCCCTTCCCTAGTTTCCACTTCCCCTTTGATGTCAGCATGCACAGAACGGATTATCCTCTTTTCTCCTTCCTGGCTACCTTTCAAACAGGATACTTTCAGGAAAAGTTTTAGTGACTGTCACTTCAACCAAACAAGGACAAGGACAACAGAAACCACCCCAAGTTACACACCTCAGAGGTCCTCTCAGGGACTCCAGGTCCTGCAGTCATGGTCCTAGGACTACATGCCCTGTCTCGGCTGCTGAGAAGGAATGAGAAGTTGCCTTCGCAAGGGTTCCCTTTTGGAGCCCTCCATCTGCCCTGATGGAGAAAGCCTCCTTCATGCAGACCGGGGTGGAGGCTCCCTGTTAGGACTTCCTGAGATTGAGAGACTGAGTCCATTTCGACGGCCACTGATCAGGGATGGCCCCAGAAACCATCCCGAAAGGCACCCTGCCGCGGGGCGGGTGGAGCGTGTGACACGCCGACTCCGTCACCCTGGTCCCCACGTGGGCTCATCCAGTCCTTGGCCGTCCAGCCCGTGCGGCCCAAGAGCTGGAATATCCCCCCACATCTCGGCTGCCAGTGCAGGAAGGAACGAATGGACCAAACCGTCGTGGCAGGTCCGGCCTGGTCCCCCTAGGCCAGGTGAGTTCACCAGGGTTCCGGGAAGCAACAGGCACCAGGCCGCAGCGAGCGGGGCGCACCAGGCCTCCCCAGCGCGAGCCTCTGCCTCTCGTCGTCCTCCTTGGGCCGCGGGGGCCACGCAGGCAGCGCGCGGCAGAGAGCAGGCACCTCCTCAGGCCATGGGCCGAGGTGGCCGCTGTCCTCTCACGCTTGCTCTGAGACCTGCCCACCCCATGGCCGTGGACGTAATAATGGCTGCCACAGAAAACACTACGAGGGGCCAGCGGGGCCACGTGGCCTGGGATTGGGTTACACATGTGCACGTGACACCACACTGACCAATGAGCTGCAAGGATGGGGAACCTAGGGGATTCTGGGACGCCTCTCCTGACTCCAGATGACCTAGGCCCAGGTTGGGGTGTGTGTATTCACATATCGTGTGACCTGTGTTCTTTTGTGAACTCCCTGGGGAAGCAGCCCCACCAGGACCCTGGTCAACAGGCCCGGAAGTGGAGTCCAGTCCAGAGGAGTGGGTTGAGGGCCACTGAGATCATGATGCGCCTCAGGCAGCTGGAGCTTTGAGCTCCTGTTTGTGAGACTCAGTTATCGCTCTTCTTCCCCCAGGGTGAGTGCTGGAGGCTGTGTTCTGGGAGGCTAGCCTGTTATCGCTGCAAATATCTCCAGCTGGAGTCCTCCAACATGCCAGCCCGGAAGCTCGTCTTCCTCACTAAAGGAATGCTCTGTGCAGTGGGCATGGCTCTCGTCTTCCTCCAAGAGGTGTTTGGACAAAGCGTTTTGTTTGGTTTCTGGTACTTCCCGAGCATGTAAGGAATGTGAACATCCTAGAACTGCATCCTCAGCTTCTTTTCCTCCAGGTCAGTGGCTGCTCATTAAAATGAGTTGGATTTTTAACAGAGCTGGCCAGACCTGGGCCCCAGCCATGAGATCCAGAATCATTTGATCTGGGCTGGGTGTAGCGTCAAAATCTTTATCACCCCAACTCCAGCATGGTCTAGAAGTGAAGCTGTGAAGAACCTCTGCTCTGGGAGCTCAAATGGGCCGGGTTTGAGGCCTACCGGTAGGCAACTGCTCCAGTCCCCGTCCCAATTTGCCTGAGTTTGCTGGGTCATCTCTGCAGCAGGCAGGATGTTGCCTGACATATAGACAGTTGGTATATGTCTGGAGCTTCCTGTTTGAATTGTGCCCTTTGTCTCTCGGAGCAGTTCAGCCCAGCCGTCCTCAGCCTAGCCATTCCCACCACAGGGGGAAGTCTGGGTAGCACTATCACAACTGCCCCATGGCCTCTGCAGCCACATTTGGGTTCCATCTGGGAGAATGGGAGATCAAATGCAAGCCTGTGGGAGACCTCATTAGATCCAACTGGCGGGAGATGAACAAACTGCAGAACATGAGACAGAGCTCACAGAGAAGCAGTGTGAGGCAGGAGTAGTGGGATATAACCCAGGAAGGCTGTCCTGGGAAGGCAGGAGGGCGGATGGGGTGCAGCAGCAGTGCTGGTGTATTGCACACCCCCACAGCACGAGGTGCTCTGTCGCTCCCCACGTCAGTCTACCTCATGACCACTGATGGGTGCTTCCCCGTTTACTTCCCATCCTCTTTACTACACCAGGTACTCGTCTTGGTGCTTTACGGGGTGACGAGGCAGCTCTGTGGGTGTTCTTATCACTCCACATCAGAGGCAAGCAAGCAGAGGTACTGAGACGTGCATCAAAGCAGGCTGGCTCTACACCTCTCCCTTAACCACAGTGCTGAGCCGCCTCACACCACAGCCAGGCGCAAGGCTGGGAAGACGGCAAGCCTGCATTCGGTGCTGCTCCTCTTTCAGAGACCCAGATGACGGCTTCCTCGGGATTTTTGCCAGTTTGTGAAGACTCAGCACCAGTGCTTCCCTTTGTCCACCTAGGTACAAGGCTCCGCGTGTCCTGGGCCCCTCAGAACACTGAGGAAGCTATCTGACTGGAATGAGTGGAAGAAGAACACTTAGGTGCCTCGGCCTCTCAAGTCTACTTGCTCACCCTACAGCCCTTAGCATTGTCTCTTCCCGCCCACATTTCCCACTCCATCACCTCCCTTCTCTGCGGCCCTGTGGCCTCATCCTGTCACAAGAGAGGGAGCGAAGCCCTCTGCCTCCTGCCTCAGTGGGTGTGAAGGAGTTTATACTAAGAAAGGGCACGCTTTCCATCGAGGTACCTCCTGCTGAGCCAAGCTCCCCCATAAAAAGTGCCTTTTCCCCCTGTTGGGGAAGTACAAGTGCAGGCCAAGGAGCACAGGGCTGTGTCCCTGCAGCCCCACTGTCCACGGCCCACTGCCTTGTTAGCAAGACAGCCACAGCTGCTTCACCTGAGCTCAGCCCTTCTGGTGTAGGAGGCTGGGCGGAGCCACGCCTCCCTCACACACAGCAGCCAGGGGCTGACTTTGACACCCTGGGAGCTGTGTTTTCCAGTGAAGCCTGAAAAAATCTGCTCAAGTCTCCAAACTGCATGCATCCCCTTGAGGTTGAAGGATGATATATTGATAAGATTTTACAAATAAAGTTTAAGCATTTTTTTTCCTTCAGATTCTGAAAATGGCAGTCTCCTTTCTCCTCGGGGCTGAGAGGAGCAGCTGGTGTGACTCAGGCCCCCATTATGGTTTCCAGAGAAGCTGCTGGCTGGAGACAGAACATCTGGTTTGTGTAAGAGGCACAGCTCAAACTTGGCTACGCAGAACTGATTTCATCTGAGGATGGCTTCTCGTAATAGTTTATTGGTTTTCTGAGGGGTGCTTCTTCAGGGTAAAGAAGAGAGAATGAGCGGGGACGCAGTGTCAGCTGCCCAAGCCCTTGCTCTCAACAGTCGCTTCCTCCTCAGCGCTCAGTTGCTCTCCTCTACGCTCAGCCTGAGGCCCACACTCACCAGACCCCTTGTCTAAATCAGATCTATTTGTTCTTTTATAAAAATCATTTTAATGTTCATTTATGAAACTTTTCGAACCTACGGGGAGTAGGAATTGTCCAACTCTTTTCCCAGGTTTACTGCTGTTTCCTTCTTTAATGATTTCATGGCTAAACTATTTTAGAGTGAGTTGCAGACACCATGACATTCCACATGGAAATACTCGAGCGTGCATCTCTCCAGTAATGAGAGCTCCTCTCTGCACCTGCAGCACGTGGTTAGAAACAGCTCCGGAACCGCGTCAAGCACCACTTTCACATTGCTGTAGGTCTCTAGAACTGTCTTTCACTGTTTCTTTTCTGTTCTCTAAATTTTAAATGAAGACTTCCTCCCATTTCTCTTTGTGCTGTATCTTACCAGGACAGGAGGTAAAGCTGTGTTGAGCTGACCTTTCTTTTGTGAGTTGTTACGTGTGTGTGTGTATGTGTGTGTGTGTGTATTCAGATGTACTTTTTCAGCTTGGTTTCAGTATCAGAACATTTCTTTTTAATTGTTCAAATGTATAGAACATTGACCTGGCTCCAAAAAACAAAAGGTCAAAGGTTAAAGCTGTCCCAACCCCACTCCTGTGCTCCCTGCAGGAACCATTTCATTGAATTCTTTCAGTGTTTCTTTTGTAACACCATTTTATACACACACAAAAATAGGACCCAGTTTTCACAAATGCACACTCTACTCTTTCCCTTAACACCAACAGCTGGATAGCACTGTGCAGTGTTCTTTCCTCCTCTCAGAACTGGGCTTTTTGTGCTGCAGATCTTCTGTGGTCCGAGCAGTGCCTCCCTGTGAGGTGCTCCCAGTGCTTGGGGCTCAGAAAGAAGCCAGGTGTCCACCGTTCCCTGCTTTGGTGCAGGTGCATCATGGGACAGAGCCAGGGATATGGCCTATAGTTGCACAGGGGCCAGGGAGTCCCCTACCTGCCTGGACCACTTGCTGCTAGCCACTGTGAACAGCTGGGCTTCCCACCTCTCACAACAAAGTAGGCTGGCTGGGTTGGTCAACCTGATGGTTGGGAAATGGCATTTCGGCTCATGGTTCACATCTTTCCTACTGCAGATGAGGCTGGGCATGTGCTTATTGTCGAGGGCCCTGGTGTCTGGGGTCCTGAGAAAGAGCTCTTCACAGCTCTTGCCTGTTCTGTCATTCTTGCTCTGTCTTTTTCGTCTTCCATTTCTGGAAACTGTTCATTCAAAATAGATTATCCTTTTGTGACAACTTGCAAATGTTTGTTCCCAAATTGCTATTGGCCTTTTGATTTTGCTCTTTTTTTTGGTGGTCAGGGATATTTTGTGTTTTAATTTCTCAACATCTTCTCTATTGATACGGAATCTTGAACGATATTTAGAAAGAGTTTCCTCGTGTCCAGGTTATGAAGAAAGTCACACGCCTCTCTCCTGCTCAAATGATTTCATGTTTTATTTTTGGGTCTCTCATCCACTTGGAGTTTACCCTCCTACAGTGGGCAGTGTGACACAGCACCCACCTGTGTTTTCCAGTGGTAACCCAAACGCTGAGCACTATTGTTGGAAAGTCTATATTTTCCCAACCTGAGGCATATCCTTTTCCAGAAACTTCATCTGTGAGTGTGAGTCTATTGCTGGACTTTCTAGTCTGTTCTGTCTCTAGTCTGTTTATTCACCAGCCACACTTTTAGCTGCAGACACTTATGTATTTTTAACATCTGCTGGGGATAGCTCCACACTCCCACCATTGCTAATCTTTTCCAGGATTTTCCTACTCTTCCTGTTTATTTTTTCATATAGACTTTAGAATAAACTTGAGTAAACCACGAGAGACACTGGAGGTCCTCATGCTCCTAGATCTCCCTGTCCGAGACCAAGTACTGCTATTTCATAGCCAAGTCTGCTTCAGCTCCTTTGGGTTGGAACTTTCTTCTTACAGGGTTCCATCTTTCTGGTTCGTCTCTGGCTATTTCATATACTTTTACTGTGTTTAGTTATTGTCTCTGAGGACAGCTGACTTCTCCACACAGAAGTTTAGACAATAACAGCAAAGGGATATTTTACAGTGTTTGTTTTGAAATCAGCTTTATTGTGCTATTTACATTACTTCTATTCTCTGGAACTGAGATTGTTATTGTAGCCTGTAGTAGTGTTCATGTCCACGATAGGCTGGAAAAGGTGTCTTTTCTGCCTTTGGGGTTGGGTGCTCCTGCAGCCCACGCTGTGATTGCACAGAGCCTTGGCGTCCCCCGGGTCTTGACTCCTGGCGTCAGTTGCCTTTCTGTCTGACCTGCTCTCCTTGTGGTTTGCTGGGTGGCCTCTGGCTCATGGGGAGCCATCACTGTGATGCTGTGACTGTGATGAGCAGCGTAGCCAGCTGCCTTCCTCCCCGATGCCTCTCGGCCCTGAGTCTCTCCTGTATGGTATCAAGACCATGGTCTCTGTGTTATTTTACTTTAATCAACTTTACCTTACACATAATAAAGTGACCCCTCTCAAAGTGAATAGATAGGTAAGTTTTGACAAATGTAGACCTTGTAACGTCCACCACAAGCAGAAATGTAGTGTCCTCCTGGGAAGGTCCCTCTGCCCCCCAGGGCTCCTCCCACACTCCAGGCAGCCACATACTCCTTTCGACATCCCAGATTACCTTAGTCTATTCTAAGAGCTGCATCTCAGTGGAATCGTTCCATGTGTACTCTTATGTGCCTGGTCTGTCACTCAACAGAGCAGCGTTCCTACGGCGCATCTGCTGTGTCACATTTAGCAGGAGCTTGCTCTTCTGTGCTGCTGAGTGGACTATTTTACCTGGAATGACAGCGTGCCATGCTGGGTTATCCTCTCCACACCAATGGTGACTGGATTTGTCTCCAAGTCTGGGATTTTATAAGTGAAGCAACTGTAAACTTTCCTGGGCAGGTCTTGGTTTAGACTAATATTTTCATTTTTCTTGGAATTATATGGCTTGGATTTGCTGAATTACATGACAAGTATCTGCTTAACTTTTTAAGAAGCCATTTTCCAAACTATATGCACCATTTGTATTTCCATCTGTAACACACAGCAGTTATAGCCACTCCTCCCTTGCAGCCACCTCGTGGTGTCATCTTGTTGATCTTAGCTATCCTGTGGGTGAGTGTGGTATTTCATTATAGTTAAATCTTCCTTTCATTGGTAACTGCTGGGGCGGAATACTTACGCTTACTGCTTGGTCTTTCCTTTGTGAAGTGCCAGTCTCTGGGGTCAGAAGTCTCTGCACAGTTCAGGTAGGGCCTTCCCCCAGGTCTCACAACTGAAATCAACAGCAGTCCACCCTTTGAGGCCCGAGATTGTGGGTGAAATCTGGTTCCTTTCAGTTGTAAGACTGAGTCCTCTTTGCTGTTGGCTGCCCTTGGTTTCTTTTGTTTGTTTCTTTTGAAACAGGGTCTCATTATGCAGCCCAGGCTGGCCTTGAACTTTCAGCGATACTCCTACCTCTACCTCCTGAGTGCTGAGATTATAGGCGTCCCACCAGGCCTGGCTTTCTCCTTAGGCTCTTGCCTGAACCCTTCACAAGCAGCTCCTGAGAAGGCATTGGATCTAAGATGTTCTCCCAAAAGTTCATGTTCAGAAGTGGGGCTTTAGGAAATAACTGGTTCATAGGGCTCTGGCTCCATCAGCTGCACTGATCAGTAGATGGATGAATAATTTGATGGTGTTACTGGGAGGCAATGAACGCAGGCAATGGGGTCCAGGTGAAGGGCGTGGGTTGTGGGGATGTGACCTTGGGGACTGCCTCTTGTTTCCAGCATCCTTCTCTTGGGCTTGTTCTCTTTCCCTGCTTCCCAGCTATCATGAGATGAGCAGCTTTCCTCTGCCGTGCTCTTCTGCCCTCCGGAATCTGGCTCACCTCAGGCCCTTAGCCGTGGAGCCAGCTAACCGAGGACTGAAATCTCCAAAACTGAGAACCAGAATAAATACGGCTTTCCTGCTTCTGTTACAGTTGAATGGACCAACAATAGTCCAAGTGCTTGTGTACGACGATGAGGAAAGGATTGCCAAGTGTACACCCAGTAGTAAGTAGTCAGTAACTGTGATAACGGCATGTGAGGAACCATCCCGAGACTGAAAGGGTGAGGAAGATCAGATTTTATTCCTTTACCTCCAGGCAGGCTGACACTGGAGTGAATATCAGCAAATATCTGTAAGAGGAACTGAATATATATTTGGGGGTACAATTTTAAAGAATCTTGAAGAATCTGGGTAAAATATTTGAGTTGAAGGCTGTAGGGGTAATCAGCACAAATTGGTACACAGAGCTGGCATCAGGGGACTGCGGGCAACCTTAGCCTCACATTACATTTTTTATTGCCCTTGCTTCTTGTTCACCAGGGGCAAGCTATTGCCAGTGAGGGAGAGTCCATTGTTTGCAGTGGGCAGCCCAAGTCTCTGAGGTCTCTCTCAGGCCAGTCCTGACAGTAGCTACACTTCTTGAAGATCGTGGAAAAGGTAGCAGCAGCAACAGGAAAAAAGGAAAAAAGAAAAGGAGGCTGGTGACTCAGTCTTTCAGAATTGAAAGACCACACACCTCTGGCTCTAGGTATGTCCCACTGAATCTCCCATTGGTGCCTTGGTGATCTCCTAGGCTTTTGTTACTTTTATTTGTTATCTCTCTTAGGATCATGGAAGCAGGTGCTGTTTATGTTAAAAGGAGGGGAAGAAGTGACTCCTTTTTCTTCTGTGCTGGAATCTCTGGGACGCATCACATGCCTGCAGAGTAGGACCCCTGCTGTGACGACGCCTACCATGTGGTTCATTTGACTTTGAAACTGGTTTGTGGGAGGAGTTTGGAAAAGTTTGGGAAAGCAAGCCCCACAAAACAGAATGCTGTAAGTGAGCTTAGCGAGAGATTCAGGCAGTAGCTCAACAGACAGCTACTAATAGAAACGTGGGCAGAAAAGACTGCTCGCAGTGTTTCAGATGAAAAGAAGTCTGTGTTGGGTATTGGACTAGAAGCCATTCATGTTACATTCTGGCAAGAAAACTTGTCCACATTTTGTTCATACGCTGATACTTTGCAGGAGGCTGAATTTAAAGGTGATAGACTGTCTTGGTTACTTTTCTCTCGTTGCTGAGACAAAATACCCAACACCGAAAATGAAGGAAGGAAAGGTTTATTTAGCTTACAGTTTGTGGAGGTTTCAGTCCATACTTGGCTGGCTCGGAGGCAGAAGGTAGCAAAGCAACAAGAGCAAAGGGGGGAATGGCAGCCGAACAGCAAGGCAGCCAGAGCAAACCCGGGAATGGCGGCAAGCAGCTTCTTTCCCTGCCTTACTTTGTAAACAGACTACCCCCACCTAAGGGGCATGTAGCTCTCACATAATCTCCATGCCCTCCTCTGCAACAGGCTCAGGATGTATACAAAGTAAGTATCCTGCCTTCCTGCTGAGTTACTTAGCCAAACCTCTAGACTCCCCAAGTTGACACAATGTTTCAACCATAACATAGACTAATCTGTGGAAGAAATTTCAAGGGAGCACAACTTTCATGGCATGGATATTGCTGGCTGCTTTTAGCTAGATTACAGTGAAAATTGGGAGCAGAAAGCAGGCCAGGAAGATTAGAAAAGCTTGCAGATTGGGCAGAAAAGCATAGGTAAAATTGAGGCCAAAGAAGGTGTGTGTTCTGAAGAGATTAGTGATGTTAAAAAGAAGCCAAGTATTTTGCACTGGGATAATAGGAAAGATACCTTGACGGAATCTCAGGAATTGGCCAGACTCTGCTTGGTGCAAGTCTGAGGGTATACAAGTGTAAGCCTTGGAAGACTCAGCTTTGCAGAGAGTCTCCGGGACTGTGCTTACTCCACACCACCGGGGAAGGGTTCCCCACACTCAGCCAGCCAGGCCTTCAGAGGGCACTGCGGTTGTGGACTGCAGCTTGTGCTACTGGGAGACCTTGTCACTGTCCATGCGGTGATGGTTTCACAAGAAAGTAGAATGCAAGAATTACAGGCTCCTGGAGGCTTCTACCCAGACCTCAGAAGACAGCCTAGGAGGCTGGGCAGTGTGTGCAGAGTCAGAGTCCCCGGGGTAGCCCTTGAGAGGGCAACGCACGGAGCTGGAGCTGGGGTGGGAATCCCAGGAAGCTAGAGATGCCAGAAACATGGAACATCTCCCAAAGAAATCTGCAGGCTCCAAGCAGAGCCAGCCTGAGAGAGTGCACGTGGGTTGCAGCTATGAAGACAGTAGGTGTAGGGTTGCATAAGCCCTTCGAAGCGCACATCTTGCCACCCCATGACCTGGATGCTGGACGTGGAGCCCAGGGATTCATGTTTGACCTGCTGGGTTTTAGTCTTGCTTTGATCCCTTCTCCTTTCTATTCCCCTATCCCGTCGTGGTGAACCTACAGCTCCCGTGCTGAGGCACAGACTCCTGTCTGTAGGCCGACTAGCCAAGTTGCCCCAGCAACTGAGGACCAGATAACAAGTGTTTTTCTTAACCTAAAACGTTAGTATTCAGGTTTAATTGCAATGTTAGCAGCTTGTGATAAATGAGTTTCGAGGTGCAGTTTGGGTGCTCGGTCTCTAACCGGTTTACAGTCGCTTCCCTATTCCTTTTGGAATGGGAATGTTTACTCTGTGCCATTGTATCTTGTTTTTTGATTTTTTTTCCAGGTTTTACTGATTGTATTTTTCTTCTGTGAGGACACTTATGTTGTGGCTACTGCCGGAGCTTGAGTCCTCTGGACAGCGACTCTGCTGTGGATTTTCACAAGATGGTCAGTGAATTCCTGATAGGAAGACTTGGTGAACGCAGTCTCCTCCCAAAGGTCAGGGGTCAGGTAGCTGTAGGTCTTGGATGCGGCATCAAAGGTGGCCTTAGCAAAGTTGACCGAAGTAGCAGTGCAGCCCCTGGCAGAAGGGTAGCAGTCATGAGTCCCAGCCATCAGCAGCAGCTCTTTGGGCACAGGAGCTGAGATGATGCCAGTGCCTCTGAGGGCAGGGATCAGAGTGATGGAGACCACTGTTATGGTTTGTGTCTGCATGTCCCCCCAAATCCTCATGCAGTCATGGATTTTTGATCAATCCATAGTCTAATGCTGGATTATGGGTGTGAGTGCTACACCCGCCCCTGGGACGGGTAGTTTGCATACAATGTAAGGGAGGGAAAGAGGTTGCCTGCCACTGCTCCTCCCCTTTTACTCTTGTTGCTTTTGCTATCTTCTGCCACCATGAATTGTTGCCCTCTGCCATGTGCCACCCTGCCTTGGAGCCAGCCAAGTATGGACTGAAACCTCCACAAACTGAGCTAAATAAACCCTTCCTTCCTTAATATTAGGTGTCAGGTATTTTGTCTCAGCAATGAAAGAAAAGTAACCAAGACAACCACTACAAAGCAGCTCTAAGCAGGACTTATTTTACCAATTGGCTTTCCATGTTCACTGGTCCCTACTGAGGCCTGTAATGGTGGGTGAAGCCATGAGGCCTCAAAAGACAAGATAAGGTCATAGCTGGGGAGGTTTGGCTTCAAGCCCCATTAGCTAAGAGGAGACTGTAGCTACAGGCATCTCACTCCTGCAGTGAAGGCCTTCCTGGAGATAACATAGTTCTCCTATAGCTGGGCATGGTGGTACATGCCTGTAATCCCAGCATTTGGGAGGCTGAGGCAGGAGGATCATTTCGAGTTTGAGAACAGCCTGGGCTACAAAGTGAGCTCAAGGCTAGCCTGAACTGCATAGTGAGACCCTGTCTCAAAAAGACAAAAGAAAAAAAAAAAATCTAGTACACATTAAATCAATTAGTTAAATGAACAGTGTTTTTATACTGTCATGGCAGAAAGCCATGGCAGAAAGACCATCTGCATTGAGCAGAACATATTTTATTCCTTTGGCTGAGAATAAAATTGGATAAAATTATTTTATTCAAAATTCCAGCTAAAGGAAGAAAACTGGGGTAAGATTGACATTACTATTGCCAATATTGCGAAAATGTTACCAAATTGGTTCTGTCTGCAATTGATGTGGAAGAATTCTGTCATGAATTTAAGTAGTTAACGTTGATGTGCTACCAGAAAGGACTATGGCAGTCACGTAGAGACTTGTGCTGAAGTTGTGTGCTGAACCCACTTTGTGTTCATAAGAAACAAAATCATAATGGAAGAAAATTTTAAAATATTCAATATCTTAACTTTTCATGAAGTTTGAGCCTTCAAAGTATCAACAAAGGATATTGAAAATGCATTGTCTTCTTATTACTATGCAGGATCTGGTATCTTAATTTTCTGTATTTAAAGTTCTGTGAATTAGGAATATCTTTATAAATACATAGTTAACTAAAGGTTAATGGTAAAATGAGTAACTCAGTGGTATGATTCAACAATGAAGTTTTATTTTCTAGATTTAGTTTATTGTATCAAATTTATATATTACCTTATAATGGTAAATGCTCTAAAAAGAGTATTTAAGCTTCTTCAGTTCTAGTACTTTGCCCTCAGCCCCCAGGACATAACAGAACATTGTAACCTTACACCAACCTTGTGTGTAAATCTTGCCTTATTAAACATTGTGCCTTATTTTGTTAAATCATTTTGTTGAAATCCAATTCTGTATTTTGGGAAAGTAACAGTGTTTTCTTCTTAATTAACAAGAATTTAGATTTTAAAAAAAAAAATCTGAAATCTACATTTTATATTTGCCTGTTACTTGTTACATCATGGTTTATCTGTTTATTACATTTATTCAAAACATGAATCTAAATTAAAAAAAACGAAAAAACATAGTTCTCCTAAATTAACATAAGTATTACTTGGAGAATTCCGTAAAGGGTTTCCCAAGTCCTGCCCAGATTCCTGCATTTTCTTCAGTATCATCCTCCTTTATTTGAAAACCTAATAAATATGGGCCCACTCTGAGAAGTCTTGGTGTCAGCCCAGAGAACCTTGAAGTCTGTAATAGGGTTGAACCCTTGTGGAGCCCTGAAATCATTTCAGTTTCTTATTTATTTAAGCCTTCGTGGTGCATGCATTCGGGAGATGGCGGGCCTGATCAACCCACAATAACTAAGGGTTATTAACGTAATACAGATGCACCAGCACAGAGCCACAGAGGCCCGTCACCTTGCAGGGGACAGTGTGGGGCTTGCTGATCTTGTTCCCCCAGTGGCCTTTCTGCATGGGGACAGTGCAGAGCTTGGCCAGGACGATGGCCCCACGAATGGCAGTGGCTACCTCCTTGGAACACTTTACACCCAGACCAACAAGACTGTCGTAGTCCTCGATGGCAACAAATGCCTTGAACCTGGCCTGCTGGCCAGCACGAGTCTGCTTCTGCACAGGCATGATTTTTAGAACTTCGTCCTTGAGGGATGTGCCCAGGAAAGTCAATAACTCAGACTCCTTAATGGGTAAGGAGAAGAGATAAGTTTCCTCCACAGACTTGATCTTCATGTCCTTGACCAGCTGGCCCAGCTCCCTGACAAGAATCCTCTCCTTGTCCTCGGCCCTACCGCCTTGAGTCCTGTGCCCCCGCCCCTGCAGCACCCTCGCCTGCAGCCTGGAAGCCACTGGCTATTTGGGGTTTCCCCGAGGAACAAGCTCTTGTCATTTGATTTTACAGGGGCTCACAGCTGAGCATTTGCCTTGTGTCTCAGAGGAGACTTCGGACTTGGACTTTGAAAAACGCTGTAACTGTTGAGACTTTGGGTACGTGAAGAGGTGGACCAATATGTTTTGCATAATGTTGTGGTTTGTATTGAAGACGTCCTCCAAAAAACGTCCTGTTAAAAGGTGAGGCTTTGGGGAGTAACTGGGTCACCAGGGCTCTAACTCCATTGATGGATTAATCTACAGTGATCTGTAATTCAATGACATCATTGGGAAGTGAGGAAGACTTAGGAGGTGAGACTGAATAGAAAGGAGTAGGGGGCCTCCTTGGGGACCCTATCTTGTCTCTGGTCCCTGGCTCCCTGGCTCCTCTGGTTCTCTCTGGCTCCCAGATGCCAGGAGCTAAACATCTTTCCTGCACCATGTCCTTCCACCATGATATTTCTGTCTGGCTTTAGGCACACAGCAGTGGAACCAGTAGTGGGACAGGTCCAGGGGAGAGGCTGGAGACTCACTGTTGGGGGTGGGGGACTGTTTAGGGTAGAGGGCCGTATGAGGGCAGGTCTTCCCTTGGGTTCCTGCAGGGTCTGTGTGCCGGCTGGGCCCTAGTCACCTCTCAGTCTTTGCTGCCTGGGGTCCCTTGTGACCACCTGGACATTTGGAGACAGTGGACATGGAGCCAAAGAGACAGGGTATATGGAGAAGTCATCCCAGACCCAAGTTTGACGGGTGGACCACAGCTTCCTGCCCACCTGGAGCCTGTGTGCAAACCTGAGGGAGACTGGGAAGGGCCCAAAAGATGAGGAAGGCAGACTCCAGGGAGCACTGCAGAGAGGGGCGGGTGTGTCCTTCCCAGGCCCAGGCTCTTCATCCCTAAGACCGCTGCTCATGGAAGCCTGTGTCCTCTGTCTTAGCTCCTATTGGCTGAGGGGCTGCTGGCTATGGTGAGTAGATCCTGGTGGTTCCATGTCTTAGCCCAGGGCTTTCTGCTTGGGGAGGAAACTTGGGCTACCCATGGCTCTCTCAAGTGGGTACCACCATGTCACTAACCCAGTTTACAGTTGAAGAAGCTGTGGAGTGGATTTGCTGGCTGGGCTGTGGATGACCCGGGGTGGGGACAGCCCCAGAGGAGGCGCTGCTCTGTTATGTGTGTGTCCCTCTATCCTTCCCCATTTCTACTGAGGGTGCTTGCTCCTTACCTAGGCAGAATGAGTCCTGGCATTCTGGGGGCTGGGCTCCCAAGGTCTTGCTATGGTGGCACTCAAGTGAGGGGTATCCCCATGCCCTGCCCCATGTCCCTAGGCTTCATGTCCTCATTAACTGGTCCCCTGCCCTCTCCTTCTCCCCTAATGCCCTCCTCCTTGGGGAGGCTGAGCAGCAGGAATCCTGGAGTCTAATGGCTATAAACTTCTCTCTCTAATACTGTCCAGACCTGCTTCCATGTGCCTGTCCCTTGTTGTGCAGCCCTTCCAAGGCCAGAAGCCACCTCTTGGCCACGCCCAAGGCCTGGTCCCAAAGGCCAACTGTCAACTTGCTCTAGGGCCAGTCCGCCCTCCCTAGTATCTTCCCTCAAGGCCTATGGACCCTGACTCGCCTTCTCAACTCCTATGGTGTTTCAGTGTCAAGATATTGACAACTCTAATCCTTTGGAGTTTAACCTGGTTGGGTTCTAATTCTGTGGCCTGAGGTGCTGGGTGCTCCCTACACCTTTGCCTGCAGGTGTGGTGAGGTCTTTGTGTCACTGTGTCTACTTCCAGGATGTTGTTGGGCAGTGTCCAGCCACGGTCTTATGGTATGGATCCAAATGCCCCGAGTCTCGTGAGTTCAAAGGTGAGGCTTTTGGAAAGTGGTTGCATCAGGGATAATAACCTCACTGGTGGATTAGTCTATTGGTGCGTGCATAGCTGAACATGCTCTTAGAAAGCAGAGGAAGGAGGTCATGAGCTGAGACCTGGACGAGGCCATCTTTCCCTGCTCACTTTCTCTCCGGGTCTCTTGTGCTGCTCGCTCTGCTTCCCGGCCATTATGAGGTGGGCAGCTCTCTTCCACCACATCCTTCCCCCAGATATTTCTGCCTTTGAACCAGCAGACTATGCAACCTCTGAAACCACGAGCCAATAAATCTCTTCTCCTTCACATTGTACATGGAGGTGTTTCGTCCCAGAGACAAGGAGCTGACCAACACACAGAGGCAGCACCTCCCCAGCTGGGGCAGGGACAGTCACGCCTGCAATCAGCTTCTCAGGAATGGTGCATGGCTGGTTAGGTGGCAGGGAAGAGCCGCAGAGAGAATTGGGAACTTTTATTAGCAGAGATCATTGACATGAACAGGACTGATAAAAAACACAGGAGGAGTAGGAATAAAATAGACATAAAAAGAATCTTCAGTGAAACACAAGACTAGCCACTATCTGGAGGAGAAAGTTTCGAGTTGTTTCTGAGGATGCTTTGGCCGTCTGATCCAGACCAGGCCTCTGCATCAATGTGGGGCCCTCATAGGCAGCACCTTTGCTCTAGGGCTGGGAGAACCAAGGTCAGAGCCAGTGTCCTCCATCCTGAGCCACGGAAGTCTGAGGCCTGGGACCAGGGTCCACTGGGCCACTGGCGAGCGCCTGGTGGGAGGACCTGACCCCTCATGCTTTGTGTTTGAAAAAATCCTCTTGACCTTGACCTTGGTTTTCCAAAAATGAAACCAGCCCAGCATCTCACCTGAACTAGCAGCAGGGTCTGCTTTGACTATTAGTGGGGACAAACAATAAGGAGGGTTCTGCAGGACTGATAAGGAAGCCAGCCCTGAGGAGGGCAGCAGGGAGTTAGGGAGACAGCAGGGACCCTCGCAGCCAGGAGCAGAGGGAGGTCTGAGAGGTGGCCGAGAGGCAGGCGAGTCCCGATGAGGGAGGGGGACGCAGACATCAGCTCTGCAAGCTGAGGGGGAGGTTTGTGTCTGTGTGGATTTCTAATCTTCCCTTTGAAAACATCTAGCTAGTCTGGAAAACTTGGGTCACATTTTCTGTTTAGTCCTGATGGGCAGGGTTGGGAGGCTCATCCTGGGGTGGCGAGTGCCCCTGGCCCTAGCCCAGAGCCACCTTCCTGGAGACCGTCTGGTAGAAGACCCCGCGGAGCAGGGCCTGGTAGTCAGGCACGCGGAACAGGTGGCGCTCACCAAAGGCCACATCGTACTCTGCCGTCTTGCCGGTGACCAGCACCCGGATGTGGGGCTCGTTCACCTGGCGGCCCACCACCACCACGAAGATCTCGATGCCCGCCCGCTGTGCCTCCTGCACCGCGTTCTCGATGGCCGCCGCCGTGGCCCCCTGCGAGTTGCCGTCGGAGAACAGCAGCACCCTCTTCTTGGCAGCGCCCGAGGAGGCCTCGCGGTAGAAGCGCGTCACGAAGCTCAGGGCGTTGTTGACATCGGTGGCGTCGTTGAAGAAGTCCATGCTGTCAACGGTGCTGGCCAGCACTGTGTAGTTCTGCAGGAACTGCAAGGCCGGCCGCCCGGGCCGCTGCTGGCCTGGGCCGCTGTACTGCACCACCGCCACGCGCACGTCCGCCGTGGGGTCCTCCCGGCCTGCTGACAGGAAGCGCTCGGCCAGGCGCTTGGCAAAGCGTTTGGTAACTTCGAAGTTGTGGCTTCCCACGCTAGCTGAGCCATCCAGCATGATGGTGATGTCGGCCGGGGAGGAAAACGTGACTGCGGGGCAGGGTGGGCAGCTGTGAGTGCCAGGCCACCCCCAGAGCAGAGGCAGCCAGCCAGAGGCCGCCCCACCCTGCCCCTGTGGGTACCGCCCCGCAGCAGCCCACCACTCACTTGGGCAGGTGTAGTCCGGACACTTCTTGTCTGCAAGGAGAAGACCTGGGTGTGAACCTCTGCACCCCACACAGCAGTGCCCCACACCCCAGGCACTGCTTTCTGCCCCGCTCCTGACCCCCGGGGTGGGGCAGAGCCTCAGCCACTTTGAGAATGGGGAACCGGAGGCTTGGAGGAGGAGGGCCGCCTGAAGGCCTGCTGCGCCGGCCACGCTGCTTACCATGTGCCCATCACCTGAGCACAGGCCCAAGGCCTAGGGAGGAGCCACAGGTGCCCAGGGGCACTGAGCAATGCAGTGTGGGGTGGCACAGTGACAGTGCCCCCTGAAGCAGGGCTCCTGAGTAGGAGGGGTGCCGTGGTGTCTCGGGCGGTATCCGCCTGGCTCACCTATGCAGATCTGGGCCGTGATGTTCTTCAGGAAGGCGTCCTCCAGCAGCTCTGCGTAGTTCTCCTTCACCAGGGAGATGCCCGGCCGGTCCTGGGGTGACAGGCCTTGGCAGGAGATGACATTGAGCTGGTCAGAGCCCGCGACGAAGCCAAACACGTCCTTGATGCCCACGGACACCACCTGTGGAGGACGGTGGGAGCTGTCGGTGTGGCCCGTGACTGCGCCTGTCCTGGGGGAGAAGCCCCTGCGTCTGGGGCCACACGGCTGCCCACCTGGATGTTGGGGCCGCAGAGCACGTTGAGGGGGGTGGTGTCCCGCTGGGTGTCCGAGCGCCCATCGGTGATGACCAGGGCGATGCGGTCGTTCTGGGTGGGCGGCAGCAGCCGGTCCCGCGTGTACTGCAGCGCCTCGCCCGTGAACGTGCCGCCTGCCATCCACTGCAGCTTCTTCACAGCTCTGTGAGCAGAGGGGCCAGGTGAGGCCAGAGGCCAGGGCACACCACTCCGTCCCAGGGGGCTGCAGGCAGCACCCACTCACTCCTTGAAATCCTGGGCATTCCGGATGTTAGGGCTGCGCAGGTCCACGTGCTCCTGCATCTGGTTGTGGCTGTACTGCACCACACCTGCGTGCGACTGTCCTGGCTCGAACTGCGGGGAGAGACATGCTCAGCTCCGGAGCTGAGGTCCCTGGGCCCCCACTCAGCCTTGCCTCAGGCTCCCAGTGCAGCCGGGGTCCCCACCCAGAACGAGCCCCAGAGC